GAGTATTTTGAGATCATTACTCTTCTTTAGGTGCTTATTCATTTTGCGCTGCTAACAATACAGGTGAACAAATGAATTATCGCAGGCTATCTGGCATAATAATTTAAGCGCAATGAATATAGATAATCGGGGCTTTCAAGCTACCTGCTAGCAATTAAGTTATTATATCTATTTGACAGGCGGGATGTAAAAAGAGAGTTGAGGTTTGTTTCACTTGAGCGCCGTTTTTACTTCACGTATGCTTCTTTTTGAGATCATCTAGTTAGGTAACTGTAGCGACATACTCTCAGCGACGTATTCTCATCTAATCAGCCACTTTCGGATGGATAAGAGGGGCTAGACGTTCAGGCACGACAAAATTCATCAAAGTTGGTTTCCTGGGAGTTGATGTTTTTTCTGGGATACGAAATAGGTAACGGTTCACTGACTCTTCCATGCAAATTAAATTCAATCAGTCGAATCAGTGAAGTTTTTTTGAATGGAGGTCGAAAGCGTGGCGCATTCACTGCTTTTTTAACATCCCATTTATCAACGTAATCTGTGCGATTCTTCATCTCGACAGCAGTGGCATTGGGAAAAAGTTTTGTCCGCCTCCAATTTCATTTCACTATTCCCATAGCTTTTTTCAAGGTTTCAAATTTCCTAAGAGGGCTCGAATTACTAATCGACAAACGACAACAGTTGAGCTCTGATTTTCCTTCATTATTTGCCCGCTTTTCCAGTAGTGAAGGAATTCATCTAGATGAACCCTGAGTGGTAGGCTGGAGTGGAACTCCTCAACCAACGCTCAGCACGAAGGCCCCGAGCAGGGTTTGCGGGAGCACATCGATTTTTTGTTCCGCACATACTTCACATAGTCAGAAGGGTAGTCTAGGAACCTCATTGAAGAATCGGACGCGTGGTCGGCAATTCTGCTTGCACTTTGTAGGGAGCACTTCGACGAGCAAATAATGCGCAGAGCGAGAATATGATATTCACGCGCTTCAATGGGGCGTTAGTTATGCATGTCTCATCATCCAACATTCCTTACTGTTGGAAATCCCCTCTCTGGTAAGCCCAAGTGTGGGCCCAGTTTGAGCCGTTGTGTGCGCTCCTAGCACAAGTTTCATGGGATAAAATCAGAACCTGAATTCGCACACTCATAGATGAGGATCGGCCTGCGTAGTACCTCCATGAGACGAATCGAGGGGCCATACTCGCTTATCCATTCACAACAATTTCCGATCACCAGTCACCTTTGAAACCCTATTTATACACATAGTATGCATGGTTAAAGTGGTAAAGGGGATCTGAAGACCTTAGATCATGCCATTCGGATTATTGTGCACATCTTTTACCCGCATTCGGTCTACGGGCCTCCTTAAGCGGTCACGGGAGGTCCGGTGGCCCAGTGTTGCTGCGAGTATCGAGACGTTTCTGATTTTGTTTTCGTTCGATCAATTGGTTTAGCTTCCTTCCAAGAGGTATGGGCGACATAGGCAACAAAACCGTGCCTATGTCTTTATATTTTTTTTCACCATCACTAATTTTTCACCTTCCTGAATACAACACACCTTTACCCAATCCCATTAGTTCTCTAGCCTATTTCGAGACTAATCTGCTACTTAACTTATGATGCCGCCAAAATTTATAAAAAAACAACACAAATCTAGATTAGTTTCCCAAGATTCAATAGTGCTTATTTTGCATGGTTCGATATTCAGGTTTAGCAATTGCTTCGCGCCGTGAAAATAAATTTTAATTGTAGTTATGAGCAAGCAGGTATTTATAACTTAACTCCTGGAGCGAAATCGGTTAGTGTTTGGAATTTGCTACTTAGCCACGCGCATGATCGGATAAGTCGGAAACTAGCCTTCCCTCCCTGGTTGCTTGATTGTATAAAACTGTCGGAGGCAAAAACTGAGTATTACCCGAAGCGTCATGCATAGGCCGACCATGTTAAAATGGCCAAGAGTGATCCGAATGAAAGTAGTTGCGGGCGTCATCCCACAAAGTGATTAGACAATTGCCTAGCTTCGTATTAATTAACCACTCAGGCATCTCAACTTATATTGCTACTTGTCACTACTGAGACGAAAGTGGAGCAATTCTGAGCAAACCTGAGACTTTTTGCTTTCGAAAATTATTAAAGGCAAAGTTCGGGCTCAGACCCACCTAATAAGCCCTTAAAGTGGCTAGAAGTGCATGGGACGCAACTGCAGGCGACTCGCCAAAGTTCCCGCATCGAAATGCGTCACTAAGGCGCTAGGGGCCAAGGACTTTGACACGCTCCACCTGTTGCGACACGCTCCGCCCACCGCTCGATATTTTGTCTGCGTCGCAATGCTGATCTGCTATGCTCTCTCTTCTCGGATTTCTCTACCGCTCTCCGCGCTCACATTATCTCTCATCTCCCTGCCGGCCTTTTGAACTTCTCCGCAACGTAGAGCAAAAGGCTCGTATTTCCTGTGTATTTCACGAATTTTTTCCTTTTTCTCCACTGGCGGTCCACCTCCCACCCTACATCACATTTGAGTAGAATTACCTCATCAGTTTAAGCTTGAATCTTGCCTTGAAAGCTTTTTGGAATAAATCTTCTTGTTTCACAGTTTTAACATCTGACAGATCAAAATGAAGCGTTAGGACAGCATAACGTAAGTTTCAGCGCAAATTCTTCTCTGCGGATAATCTGAAACAACGATACCTATACCACCTTTTGAACATTCCCTTTGTTGAACACACTTCAGCAAATGGTTCCAGCAGGAGCGCCAATCCTGCGGCGCGCGCTTCGCCATTCAATGCTTGATTTTATTCATCTGCTCCCTGAGTGCAGAATGGACCTCACAGGCGCCTCCTCGACCATCGTTGTATTCTCTCTTCTTTTTTGAACTTTCGCACCTCATCTTCAAAGCGGCCTCTTCGCAATGTATCGGCGTACAAGTCTGTTCAACACGCGTACTTAAGTTGGCGATTATTTCTTCATTTCTTTCATAATCATCATGGATCGTACGATAATTGAGCATGATTATAGTGACCAAGAAACGCTGCGATTTCTTCATTTCCTTTGAACCACTGTGGTCGACTCTAATGCTGTAGTTATCTATATATATATTTTATTCACCTATCATTTATTTATTTATTTTTTCTGCGGACAATTGACCGCTCAACACAACACCGAGAACACATGGTTGCGGGTCAGGAAGTAGGGCGACGTAATCGTCATGTAGAAAGTATGCAAATCACGCGAATGGGCGAAATATTCAAAATACCTCCATATCAATGGGTAGAAATAGCCAAAGAAATCACCAGATGAACAAATATTCCCCGAATGGTGAGGAAGGTAGTTCAAGCATAGAGAGACCGCGGTGGAATCCAGTCTAATGGCCGCCGTCACCCGTCGGGCATATGGAATGCCCTAAGACGTGCTCTAATGGTCATAGGAGCTGACAACGATCTTGCTTACTCAGTTCCTCCCGTGCTAAACAGCACATCGGGCGACGAATTCTTTCCACTGTTGCCGTTGTGCAGTCTTTTTTCCTTCACCCTAGAAACATTATGTCTTGTATCATTCTCGAAGTTGCCTTCAACGGGTTCTGACGGCCTCTTCCTCCTTGCGCCTGGAGGAGGCAGTCAGGCTCACCCTCTGGAATGCGTTTTGCTGACACCGGACCTGATGTCTAATATGTGCTCAACCTCATACGCTTCTATAAGCTTTCTGCGGCCTTCAAAAATATTCATTAGAAATCCCAATGCCGGTTATTGCTATGTGACGTCAGTACTTTGCGCTAATCAAATCCAGGCAAGGTTTTTTTTGGATTTTTCCGCGCTAATTAGCTTCGACTTCTCCTTGGTAAAGGCGCGAGATTTACGATAGGATTCGGAAGTGAAGATGCTGTTAGTAGCGAAAAAAGCAAAGAAATCCGTCAAAAACGCGCAAAATGGGACCACTTCCTCTGCCCGTTGACCTCCGATAATGGACGAGTTGGCAACCAACTAAGAGGTCGTCGGCACTCGTTAAACCATAGCTGCCATCATACCACCAGAGATCATACCTTGATTGATATAGCATTCCATGAAAAAATTGGATACGCGCTCGAAGTGGCATACCTTATCAGAATGATAATCGAACAGCGATCTGCTGAGGGGCGGAGCACAGGCCGTGGCGGAGCTACAAGGGAAGGATGGTAGGTCGAAGTGGCCGTTCGAAATGAAATGTATACCTCCTGATGCGTCTCCAGACGCTGATTCCAAATCTGCCTTCCAAATCTGCTAAACGACTCTCCGAACGGAGTTATGAAGCGTAATAGCTCAGTGGTGATGGTCCGGGGTGGCAGGTAAAAGCTCGTCGGTTCCTTTGCAAGTTTGTTGCTTTGCTTTTGTCCGCAACACTTCTAGAGACAGAAGCAAAGCAACCAATTTGCAAAGGAACCGATGCCTTACGCGCGCTGTTCACGCCACCAGCCGACCAATCGCCCGCAAATCTGAGCTATTACGCTTCATAACTCCGTTCGGAGAGTCGTTTAGCAGATTTGGAAGGCAAATTTGGAATCAGCGCTTGGAGACGCATCAGGAGGTATACACTTTCTTTTGAACGGCCACTTCGACCTACCATCCTTCCCTTGTCAGTATTCAGCAGAAGAGTCTTCTACCCTTAAGAAAATATCCCATCTTCGGCTCGTAGAATATATATTGCGCGTGCGTAAAGGTTCATTTTCATTTTCTTGTCTCGCCGAATTCGCTGGCTCAGAGCACCCGGGCTTGCTGACGCGGGCGACTTTATGGGATTTTGTTTTTGTCCCAACCTAGTGCTTGACATTCTGAAAGAGGAGTTTGTGTCAATGTTAGGCATGGTTGATCTGTACTGAGTTGGATTAAAGACGATGACGTTCTTCCCTTTGGAACACTCGTTTCGCCTTCAAGGACTCTCTTCGATGTGAAAATAATAGATGACAAGACAGGCAACTGGTTCGCTGCATTCCAGGTGTTAATTTTTCACTTTCATAATCAAATTAGTTCTGCAGACTCCAAAACAATCTACAGTCGCGCAGCTTTCGGAGCAGTGGTTGGTTTCGGTTGAAATCCGCCTCGTGGTGAATCTTAAAAGCGGTTAGCGGAATGCTTCATTTGCTTCTCTCTCGGTTGGGATTTTCTTTCGCGACGGCTGTCCATTTGAATAGTGAGTTGCTGTAGCCTTTACTCGGTAATATAGTTGAAAATGAAACATCATTTGTTCAGAGAGCTTGTTTCATAGGTAAGTAGGTTTTCCTTGTAGGAAAACAAATAGTATCTAGGGTTTTCAAGTAATGTTGTACGCGAATGTAGAGACACATATTGCTTCAGGACACAGGCACGCGCTTGTGTCTTTCGATGTTCTTCGATTCGCTTTCAGGCACGACTCTCATCTTGTCTTTCTTCTCCTTTATTTATCTCTGGAATCTCTTCTCGTCCGGTCAAAATTATGCGTGAGATATTTGCTTCTCATAGGCGTCGTCTGCGTCCACTCCGCTCTCTCTTGTCACTCTCAATCCGAACGCGACCATTGCCAAGGCAGCGAATTATTATCGGGATGCGGCGCCTCTCCGACATAGGACTACCTAGCAAGAGAAAGAGATCCTCTTGTGTGATCATGAGTAAGTTATTTATTTTTATTTATTTAGCTATTGTACTCGCACGTTTGGGTGCGACCCATGAAGACGCCGAAGGCCAACGCGTGCTCATACCGCGCGTGAGGCCGTCCTTGTTGTCGAATCATAAACAAACAAGCGAGACAAACAAAACACTTTATGCTTCAGCATGCTCTTCTAAAAGTCCAACTTAAAGGATAGAGGGTGGAAGTTGCCTCGAGAATTTGATCAATCTTTTGGATGGCGGCGAGCATTCTACTCCATTTGTACATTGGGTTGAGGATACGGACGTTCTTTCTTGAATGCGGAGATGTTTCGTGAGCCAGACAGTCTGTGACTGCTTCTTCTTCCCTCTACAATTTCACCGATCTGGCAGGGGTTCATGGAAGGCTTTGGTTGGCCGCGGCGTGACAATCACGTGATACGCCCATGAGCCCTTCTTTATTCTCCTCGCGCCACTCTCCGAGTCTCGCCTGGGTTATCTGGGTTCTGCGGCTTTCACACGTCTACACACTTCCGCCACCTTTTCGCTCAATAGCGATGTCACGGCAATTTTGATTCGTCTTCGAATAAGTCTGTTCCCTATTTTTGCGTAAAAAATCCTTTTAAAGCCCAGGAAAGCTCTTAGGTGCAAGCTTGCCATTGATTAGCGCATTACACCCCTTCTGCATAGCTGGGTATGCGCACGGAAACTCATACGTCTGACATTCGTGCATCACTGGTTATGCACACCGGCATTATGTTTCTTTCGCATACTTTCCTGTGCTTACGTGACTACCCGAACTTTCCTTAATCCCATGAGTTTAGAACGCACGGCCACTGAGCAACTCCTATATTTCACCTAAATGATGGTCTCTCAAAGTTCCGCGACCAATTTTCTTCACAGCCGCGCAATCCAGCGAGCGCCACATATATGACAGCTGGGCAGGAGCTTCTGAATGTTGAGTGCTTCTCGCAGAGTATTTAACTGCACAACTACGTACATATAGCTTGACCCGATTGTTGAGGCGCTCCCCATCAAAGAGGTTTAGCATGACGTACTACTGGGATTTCAGATGGAGAATATCATCCGAATTATTGGGAACAGTAAGCTGATTTTGGCCAATAAACTCTTCAAATCGATCTAAAACTACCAGCATAAAGGTTAGGCGGTGGCCTCGATCAGACTGGCTTAACACCGTTTGGCACCACTTGTTGATTTCATTACTTGACTGCCAGACTGTAGGGTTTTAAGGGCTTTTGAATTTTGCTTCCACGAACATCCTTATATACACTAGGAAATATCGTGAGCACAAATACTTTGATTTTCCTTCGCGCTTCAGTGGAACCATTTAAATCCGGCTCGGGCTACTCGACAGGAAGCCTGTCGCGCGTTGAGAATGGAGAGTGGCAGACAGGTCAGCCCACGAGTCACAGCTTGTGTTGGTGATGTGGGACGTAATTACTAGTACGTCTATTTAACTGTGCGCAAAATTACTGCTGTACGCGGTGCATCTCGTCTCGTGACCCCTCTGCGTCTGTGCCTTTTCGCCGCGCGACGGGCCTTCCTGTCGGATACCCCCGGCTAGTGCGCGTAGTAGCACAGTCGCTAACAATGCCGCGCAATTGCTCCCTACTTGCACACACTACCGAGAACTTAGCAGCGTCATTTAACAATTTATGCAGCAGCGCGTAATTTGCTGGAGAAAACTGGTGATTCACCGCAAAGACTGTCTTTCAATTTCAGCAAACATGGTGTCTGTATAGTGACACCAGACGAACAGTTCAAAGTCGTCATCTACGGCAATCATCTGGACAAGATTGCCCAGCTGGTTTTCACACCAACGAACAACTGCTCCGATGGAAGGCATGTCGTGGACGCCACCAACGATTTCATCGTACATTTCACTCATAAGGTCAGCATCACTGTAACCAAATACGACTACATCAACAGCTCATTATTGGTGTCTTGCCACTGCAACTTAAAGGACGAATTCACGATGAAAAAGCAACCCATTTCAAATTAACCTAGGGATGGTGAGTGGTACACGAAAGAAGGAAGAACCATGAGAAACGGCCCAGAACCCGAGAAATGGACCCCTTCCTTGCCCGTTGATTTGAGCATTGATGCGACTCTCATCGCTGTGCCCTCTTCAACACTACGCTCTCTCAGCTATCTAATCACTCGCCACGTATTGAACTACGGCGAGTGATCAGATGATCGGTGGGCGGAGATCGCCGGACCCGCCAGCTTTGAGGCATGATAGGTCGCCGAGGTCAAATTTTTCCATGCGAATTGCGCGTCAGTTCGCACCCTCAGGAGGTCCGTGGGTCCCTCAACTAGGTCAGTTTCCCTTTCTTCGACCTTCATTCTAATCGTGAATTCCTCCTTTAAAAGGCTGGAAAACTCAACAGAGTCACACAATAATAGCTTGGAGTGAGGGGCTTCTTTCAGGCTACATTCCACCTAATACTGCCGATGCTTCCAGAAAGTATACATGCTTACAAAATGTGCGTGAAACCAAAGGGTGCGCTGCCTGGCATGGAACTCAGTCCGGTAAGCGAGAATTCTTGCTCTGCGAGCTTCAGACTGCAAATGAAAGAAAAAAAAGGATAAAAGAAATTAAAAGTGGTAAGTTTTCTGAGAAGTACCATACAAAATGTATTGAAGAAATAATGAGACTTTCTTCTGGCCTTCACATGAATTGTTTCGAAGGTTCCACAGACCACTTGAACTGCTTGGCCCATGTTAGTAAGTAATAAGTATAATATAATAATAAGTATAATACTACATAATCAAGCTGTATATAATAAGTAAAAATACGTTATACATAATATAATAATAATAAGTATAATATGATAGGCATAATAAGTAAATAGTAAGCCAAGTATAGACCAAGCTGGTGTGATTCTTGCACATGAAAGTGAGTGCATGAACCGGTACTGAAAAATAAAAGGGGTCGGCAGAAAAGGCCTAAATCAAGAGCACGCTCATTTTTGTGATTCGACTGTTTGGGCAGTAAGACAGTGAGAGTGAAGGAGTGAGAATAGGCAGCAGAGCACGGCTGATGAGTGGGCTAGGTAACCGCACGTTGCATAAAGGACAAAGGGTAAAGCATTGCCGTTGATCAATCCCGTTTTGGGATGCGGCACGCATTCTACTTCCATTTGTACATTCGCAGTGGCAATTTGAATGCGATGTGGCCTATACAATGACTTGCTACCTGATGTACAAGTCATTTATTTATCCTCACAATCTGATATCAGTTAACCGACCTCGGAGGAATGGAGTTTAATTAGTACGGACGACGCAAGGCCCAGGATTGAGCTCCAGATCGCCACGCAGTAAGCAACGCCACTTTCTGCTACACCACGTACTTTGCATATAAGGAAAAATGGAAGCGGTCGAGGCGGAGAGGGAAGGCCCCAAGCGCATTAGTCGCTTACCTGTAATCTGGGAGAACGGGAAATCAGCGATTTCGGTGGACAGTTCTATCATACCCAAAGAGGTTGATCTACTCGAGGTCATCGTGGGATATGCTTGCGAATATCTCCTACCAGATAAATATAATATTTATGTTTTCTATTGGAATGGGACCGTCTGAATGTCATTATGAGGTTTGAGTCAGGGGCTGGATCCGAACTGCAGTTCATCCTACTTATGTTACTTCCACCATGAAATTTTCATCAGATACTTGATTATGACTGGATTTCGTCAGATTTCATGTCCCAGTCCATTAGATAAAAACTTATTTTTGGTTGAGCACAAACATCTCAATGAATGGCTTGGCTTTTGGGTGATGCCCTTTTTTGAATGAAATTTTTATTTAACGCGCCTTCATAACTGTGAATTAAAATTCTACTGAGAACATCACAGATGTCTTTTCTCTATTTTTTCATTTCTTATATTACATGTGAAATATCAAAGACGACAGGAATAAACCTAACCATAGGTCAGCTTGAGAGAAAGAAACCATCATAATTGTTTGTTTAGCTGGACGACATTTCAACATGGATCACTACTGAGAAACCTCCAAAGGAATACTTCCTACCGTTACCAGTTCAGGTTGGATCACTTCCGAATTTATGTTTTATTGGAGAATTACTTTGATTTCGTTGACCGTTTTTACAGCTTTACTCTTTTCCACCAC